TATATATACTTTATTATACTTTTTGTAATAATTTTATGCTTTATTATATGCAAATTTAAACAGATCTGCCAATTATTCTAAATAATTGTGTGTATACTTTTTTTTGGAAAATTTCTAAGAACTTGAAACGTGATGAACACCTGTCTCGTAACGTAGAGTGGGGGTTATACATAGTGTAATAATGTTGATCCCTTTTTCAGAATATTTTAGAATAAACTCGGTTTTTAAAGGAGATTAATACTTTTACCAAAAATAATTTTTTATTATTTTTGGTAAAAGTATTATGCGAAATTTATAAGAACTAAATTTCCCATAATAATTTAATGTTTATATAAAGTTTGATTCCATTTACAGTCCCAACACGCTAACAATTATCATTCCAGACTTTGTTCTAATGGCAACTCCAAGTTCCCGTAGATTCACGTACAATGTGTTCCTCAGTTTTAGAGGGAAAGACACGCGTTCTGGTTTCACTGGTTATCTCTACGATGCTCTCTGTGACAAGGGAGTTCACACTTTCATGGATGATGAGGAACTTCAAAGCGGAGAGGAAATCACACCAGCGCTTCAGAAAGCAATTGAAGAGTCTAGGATTGCCATCGTTGTGCTCTCTCACAACTATGCTTCTTCCTCTTTCTGCTTGGATGAACTTGCAACTATAATTCACTGCCAGAGTAAAGGACTGTTGGTTATACCAGTGTTTTATAAGGTGGATCCTTCTAATGTCAGACATCAGAAAGGTAGCTATGAAGAAGCACTGGCTAAGCATCAAAAGAGGTTCAAAGGGCAGGAGGAGAAGTTAAATAAATGGAAAATGGCTCTGCGTCAAGTTGGTGACTTGTCTGGCTATCACTTGGGAGATGGGTACCCACCTTACCAATCTTTTTATTTTATTGAAAATTAGTATACGTATCAAGACATGTTTACAATGCTTCTAGTTTAGCTTAGTTATACTTTAATGTTTGGAACAGGAATGAATACGAGTACAAGTTTATTGAGAGCATTGTTAAACGGGTTTCCAGGGTGATTAATCGTGTTCCTTTACATGTTGTGGATTACCCAGTTGGCCTATCCGCACGGGTGCTGAAAGTCAAGAAACTTTTGGATGTTGGATCGGATGGTGTTGTCCACATGATAGGGATCCATGGAATGGGTGGGTTAGGAAAAACAACACTTGCTCTAGCAGTTTATAATTCCATTGCTGATGATTTTGATCAATCATGTTTTCTTCTAAATGTAAGAGAAGAATCAAATAAACATGAGTTAAAAGACCTCCAAAGCATCCTTCTTTCAAAAATGCTTAGAGAGAAGAATATCATCTTAACAAGTTGGCAAGAAGGAGCATCAATGATACAGGAGAGGCTGGGGCGAAAGAAGGTTCTCTTGATTCTAGATGATGTTGACAACAGAGAGCAGTTACAAGCATTTGCTGGAAGAGCTGATTGGTTTGGTCCCGGCAGCAGGGTTATCATTACCACTCGAGACAAACAGCTGCTAAAATCTTATGAGATTGAAAGAACTTATGAGGTGGAGGAATTGAATGAGAATGATTCTCTTAAATTGCTTATATGGAATGCTTTCAAAAGGGAAAATGTTGATCCAAGTTACCAGGACGTGTTGAAACGTGTAGTAACTTATGCTTCTGGTCTTCCATTGGCTTTAGAAGTAATAGGTTCCAACTTGGTTGGAAAAAGTGTAGAAGAATGGGAGTCTGCGATTGAACATTACAAAAGAATTCCAAACGGTGAAATTCTAGAGATACTTAAAGTAAGCTATGATGCTTTGGGGAAAGAAGAACAAAGTGTCTTTCTTGACATCGCCTGTTTCTTTAAAGGAAGTAGTTTGGAAGAAGTTGAACATATACTTCGTGTTCTTTATGATCACAGCATGAAACATCATATTGGGGTGTTGGTGGATAAATCTCTCATAAAGGTTTTGTGGGATGACGAAGGGTTTGGTGAAATTGAAATGCACGACTTGATTGAGGACATGGGTAGACATATTGACCGGCAAAAGTCACCCGAAAAGCCAGGGAAGCGCAGGAGATTATGGTTAGGGAAAGATATCCTTCATGTTTTAAAACACAACAAGGTAAGTAAGCTTCATCGATGACTGATATGCTTTCTTAGCTTGATTTAATATTTTCATGTCTATTTTTTTTTTCTCTTAACAATTTTGCAAAGTTCTCTTAACACGTGAATTTTTTGGATTCGTGAATGTGACTTTTGCATAGGGAACTGGGAAAACTGAAATCATACGCCTGGATTTGTCTATATCTGAGAGAGAAGAAACGCTAGAATGGAATCCCAACGCCTTCAGAAGAATGAAAAACCTTAAAATGCTTATCATTAGAAATGGTAAATTTTCCGAAGGTCCCAGTTACTTTCCGAAAAGTTTGAGAGTACTGGAATGGCATGCATACCCTTCAAATTGTTTACCATCAAATTTTGATCCGAGCAAACTTGTGACATGCATGTTACCTTACGGTCAGTTTACGTCATTTGGATTCCTTGGCTCATCAAAGGCAAGCTTAAAGAGTGTTTTCCTCATCTTGTAAATTATTAAAAACAGCATAAATATCTTAACTTTTATTCTCTTTATTTTCTTTGCAGAAGTTCGAGAATCTAATTGTCTTTAATTTTGACTGCTGCAAATTTTTGACACAGATACCCGATGTGTCTGTTCTCGGGAATTTGAAGGAAGTTTCATTTAACAGATGTGAGAGTTTAGTTGCAGTTCACGACTCAATTGGTTTTATGAGTAAACTTAAAATATTGCATGCAAAACATTGCATCAAGCTTATGAATTTTCCACCTCTCAACTTGCCCACTCTTGAAAGCCTAGAACTTTCATTTTGTTCCAGTCTTGAGAAATTTCCAGAAATACTAGGAAAGATGGAAAACATAAGGAAACTTG